ATCACTTCTCTGGGTCTATCATGTCATCTCTCAAGTCAGAGAATTGGACTTCACAGTCCCTTCCCCTCTAAGCTCTCTGTTCCTAAGACTATTATGTCAACAGAATCTGGCTTCCACAAGTGTTTCTTCCTTTCCCCACCTTCTGGTTTAAACCAGAAGAATCTTTTGCCTACTAGTTCTCTGAGCTAGGTCAATGGTGACAAACCCGCTCCAATTAAGCTGTCTTTGGGGAAGAAATGTAAGCTAAAAGTCGTAGGTTCTTCTTGAAAAGGCACCAAGGCAGCAGAATTTTCTAATGTGTTCTTCCCCCACCCCATCCCCTCCTTTTGGCCAGAACAACTGCTATTAAATAAATAGTAAACTAAAAAAAAAGAAAGAAAAGTCACCAGGAAACTAAAGAGTTATTCCCCTGCCCAGGGCCACAGTTTCCCATCATCATCATAAAAACAATACCTAATATGTATATAGTACTCTAAGGTTTAATAAAGCCCATTACATATATTATTTCATCTGATCCTTGGAAGATAGGTATCATTATCCCCTTTATATTGAAGAAGAAATAGGCTGAGCCCAGGGTCACAGTGTTTAAGCAGAATTCAAACTAGGATTTTCCAGTATGCAAGCCAATGCTCTATCTATGCCACCACTTATTTGTGTTTTGGGGCTGAGGTTCTTCAAGTAGTCTATATTATAATAGGATTATTATTATAAATAAATTTAGAGTAAAACATATTAGGTTGGAATTCTGACTCTGACACTATATATTACCTTGGACAAATTATTCCCTGGGCCTTTTTCCTCAATCCATAAAAGAAGATGATCTCTAAAGGCCTTTCCAATTCTAAATTCTATGAGCCTATGATTAATAGGAACAAAGTCTCTTGTCCCCACAGCTAGTGAACAAGTACCATTCTAGGCTTGGTGAAACTCAGTAGGTCTAGGCAGAGGTGATGAAGGAGGGTCCAAGAATGGGGAACAATTTGTGCAAAGGTGGCTAGAGATGGTCTAGAGATATCAAAATATGTGGCTGAATTTGCTCCCAAGAAGTCCCAATGATGAAGATACATAGATAGAAAGGGAAAAAAAAAAGATATACAGATAGGTGTTCTGTGCCCCACAGTCTTTATATACATACATACATTCACTCATTCATTCACTCACTTACTTATTGAGTGCCTAGTCTGTGCGATTCCACTGGGAATACTCCATTTTCAAGGTACAGAGGGACAATATGGTGGTATGGAAGGAATATCAAACTTGGTATGAACACAGGCACCTCGTTTTTGAGCCTACATTTCCCCATTTGTTAAATAGGGCTAAAATTACATGTAGTATCTCTCAGGACTGTTGTAGCAAAGGAGATTTTTAAATTAAGTGCAAAATGCCCCTCAAAGCTTTCTAGTTTTATTATATATTAGTCCCTTTCACATGTGCTATGGCCTGCTAAACTTGATTTCTTGCTGGCTCTAAGACATAGCACTCCATTTACATCTCTGTGCCTTTGTATAGATTGTCCCCCATTCTTGGAATGCCCTTCCTCATCTCTCCTTCTTCCCTTGGCTGCTCTCACCCATCAAAATTACCTTGATTTTTTTGGGGGGGGTGAGGGGAGATATATATATACTTATATTTGGAGTCAGTAAGAGCTGAATTTGAATGTGACTTCAGACACTTACTAAGTAAACTATGTGACCCTAGGTAAGTCACTTAACCACGTTTGCCTTGGTTTCCTCATCTATAAAATGAGCTGGAGAAGGAAATGGCAAACCAATCCAGTATCTTTGGCAAGAAAATCCCAAATGGGGTCATGAAGGGTAGGACAAGACTGACAGGACTGAACAACAAAATATTTGCACATGTCTTCTGCCCACCCCCACCCCCAGCTCCTTGTCTTTGTATCTCAGTTAACTAGCACAATGTTAGGTAAATAATAGGTATTTTGTAAATGTCTAATATTATCTGATGAAGGTAAGATTTGTACACAAGTAACTATGATACATGTTTCATGTGTTATTTACTACATGTATCATGTACCACAGTATAGGTGAGTTACACTTGAGATACAGTTGTGAAACAACTATACCCTAGGCTCCCCCTCCTCCAGATGAGACCACCTCCTCAGGGTAGTTACAAGAATCATGTAACTAGAGGTAGAGTTTTTGAAGATAGCTTCCTGTCATGAGTAGTAACTTGCAATAGAGTTTAGAAGGTGACCCCTCACACATAATTTTCCCTTAACCTAGAATTTTGTTGATTCTTTTGCTTCTTCTGAAGTGAGTTACTTTTATAGTCCACTGCCCTGAGTCTCCCCTCCATAGGAATACTGCCTCTGAGGTTGAGGCAACGATCATGGTGTGGTGAAACTTACTTGGAATCTGGAAGAATTCGTTTTACATCAGTACAGGGAAAACGAAAGGCTAAGCATTAGTAGAAGAGTGGAGTTAGAGAACGTATCTGGAGAATGGAGGAAGTTGGCATAGGTGATGGTTGATATTCATAGAATGTATCCAGAGAAGGGAATTAGAAGAGTAAGTATTTTCAGAAAATGAAAGCTGAGCAAATATAAGATTTGGGGAGCAGGGTTCTGGAAAAAGTTATCCAGAGAACATAGGATGTTGACATGTCAATATTGATATAGGTGGTTTGTGTTGGGAGAATTATCTTTGTGGAGGAGGTAGATTACAGGGTAGGTAGTAGGCTATGGAGGGAGAGGGTATTGGTGGAAAATAGGAGGTGGGTAAAGAAAGAACCTATAAAGAATCATGAAGGCGGGGAATGTTCAAAAGGGGAGGAGGTCAGTACTGCAGGGATGGAGGGGCGTGGTACTGCGGGGACTAAGAGGCGGGGTATTGCAGACTGTGGGGTGCAGTATTATAAGGGGCGGGGTACTGCAGGGATGTAGGGGGCGGTATTACAAGGAGGGGGTGGAGTACTGCAGGATAGAGGGATGGAAGATAGAGGTATTACAGGACTGTGGGGTGTGGTATTGCAGGGACTGAGGGGCGCGGTACTGCAGGGCGGATGGAGGGTCTGGGAGGGTCTCACAGTATTAAAAGGTGGAGGAATCTTCCCGTTGTCCCCTCCTACCCCATACCCCATACTCCACCTCCCCTCTCCTTTTACTGGATGGAGGGTCTCAACTCTTATTACCAGATAAAAGGGCATCCACATTAGTAGGAAGATTTCCCCGTATTAAGGAGGGACATACTCCCTTCAATGATTTTACTGAGATGGGTCTCAACTCCATCACAAGATAGGAGAGTGCCTGAAATTAGGGGCAGAGAGTATCCTGGCATTACTAAATGAAGAAATTATAATTTTAGGCCAGAATGAATGGCTACAGTAGAAAGTTGGAGAGTCCCATCACCTTAGCAGATGGAAAGACAAACAGTATTAAGTGGGGAGACAGGTCTTATAGCGTAACACGAACAAGGGATGTGGGATTAACAAAAAGGGTTCTCATGGCGCTGATAGAGGGATCAATATTCGTGGGAAGGGCAGTCTCATGGTGATAAGATGGAGAAGTGCCCGCATTAGCGGGTAGAAGGGGTAGCAGATGGAGGGACTAGTGGTATTAATGGTTTGGAAAGTCTCACGACAACGACGGCGGCGGAGACAGCGGTGGCGGCGACGACTACGACTACGTGCTACCTCCGTATTAGCGAGGAAAAAGGATCTCATGGGGTTAGCAGACAGAGGAACGACAGATATTTAACAGGAAAAAACATCTCATGGTGTTACCAAATGGAAGGACCCATTTTAGCGGGAAGGAGGGATTAAATGGGGGGGGTCTTTATGGCTTTAACAGAAGGACATGTGGGGTCTCATGGCGTTACAGGGAAGGGGAGGGGTCTAATGGCGTGGGAAGGAGGGTCTCATGGCGTTAGCTGCCTTAGAAGGAGGAGGGACACTTTATTGGCGCATGGCGTTAGAGAAACAGGGTTCCTGTAGTCTAAGAAAGGGGGTCTCAAAAGATGTTAGTAGATACAGGGATTCCTGGAACTGGCAGGTTCTCAAGCTGTTACCAGGAAAGGGGGGGAGGTGTCTCAAGGCGAAAGTATAGAAGGATCCTAGATATTGGCGGACTTAAAGGTCTCCAGGAAAAGTGGGGGAGGGGTCTCATGATGGAAGAACCCTCGGTATTAGCGGCAAGGACTAGTTTTAGCTGGGAGGGTACCACCGAGTTATTCGGCAAAAGTGGTAAATCTCATGGCGTAGGTTAGTGGAAGAGGGTCTCTCTGTTAGAGAGAAAAAAAGGGATGGGGGGGTCTTTTGACGTTAGAAGGTGGGAAAGACTCATTTTAACGCCGAAGGAGATGCGGCCTCATGGCATTAGCAGATGGAAAGACCCATTTTAGTGGGAAGGGGCTCTTACTGTGTTATTAGCAGGAAGAAGGGTTAGCAGACGGAGGGAAGCGGTATAATTAGGGAATAAGAATCTCATAGTTTTAGGAGATGGAAGTGTGTTTATGTGTGGGGGGGGTAGTTATGGCGTTTTTTAGTTGCAAGGAGGGTCTCAAGGCTTTAGCATATGGAAGGAACTGTTTTAGCGGGAAGGAGGGTCTCATGCTGTTACCAGATAGCTGGGGGAGGGGTATTAGCGAGGAGATACTCAGGGTCTCTCCCCTCCACCCCCAGACCAGATGGCGGGCAAGTAGTAGTAGCGTGAGGGAGGGTCTCGCGGTATTAGGCAACAGAAAGACCTTGATATTATCAAGGAGTAGAAAGGGACGGCGTGGTCCGGAGAGTTTGGTAGTACTACAAAACAGAGGGGGGCTATTGGTGTTAGTGGGATAGGGGATTTGGCGGCAAGAGGCAAGGCTAGTAAAATCTTGTGCATTACCAGGGGTCTTATGCTGTATTACCACCGTGGGGCTGGTACTACCCAATTGTGGGGACTCAGGGCGGGGGAGGGGAACATATTATAAAAGACAACGGAGCCCAAAGTTGGGGGGGACAAAGTACGGGAGTTAGGGAGACTGAGGAGCAGGGCTTCTCACCTGGCTGGATGGCAGTAGCACTGCGTAGGGCCCCATTGAGGATAATTCCGAAGAGCAGAAACCAAAGGGTCGGGTACGCCATTCTTCACCACCTGCGGGGCAGCATCGCACCAGGCTGGCTGAGGAGTGCTGCGACCATCCGCACCGCGTGGGGACGGAAATGGAGGCACAAAAACGCAGCAGACAGAACAGCTACTGGAGTCCGCGGGTACTGGGCCCCGAACTGCGTGAGCTGGGCTAGTGACCGCAGGAGCAGCTGGAGGGGGCGGTGCCCTTGGTCTAGGGTCCGCCCCTGGACCCGCCCCCCTCCGTGTTGGCAGCTCCGCCCACGCCTCTCCTCCCTCCTCCTACTTCCCACCTCTACTTCCAGTGGAGTAGTCACTTGGGGGGGAATCGAGGCTAGGGCCCCTCAGTGAAAAGGGAAGACTGCCCCCTATATCCCATGCTGCCCCTAGACCAGCTGCCCTAGTCCTGGCGTCTCCATTCTTCGCCAAATCCTGGGTCTTAGACAAGACATGATCATGAGAGCTGAGTCAGAGCCCTGGAGAGGTGGTTTCTGCTCAGTATTTGCCCTTAACCATAACTCCTCACTGAATCCCCTAAGTGGGGGGCACCCCAACCCCGTTGCACACATACACATATATGTAACCTTGCACAAAGACACCCCATAGATAGGCTATCAGAGGCAGCCAAAGGAGCGGGCTATTTTTGCAGCCACTAGGGGGCGAGGATGTCCCATTGGGTCTATCATCCAACCCAATTCTATCCAACATTTATTAAATGGCTAGTGACTATTATGTACAAGGAAGGCAGTGTGTGCTAGAGGGTAGGGGGTTTCAAAGACAACCAAGAAGCTTACATTTTACTGGTCGAGGGGGAGGGGGAATACAATGTGTAAAAAGTACATTTACAGGGTGTCCCAGAAGTCTTGCACTGAGACATACACAAGTCTTAGGGCAAGACTTTAGGGATACTTTCTATCAACCTTAGACACTGTAGCTGTGTGACCATGGACAAATCACTTAACAAATCAGTTCCCTAATCTATAAAATGGAAATCATAGCACCTACCTCACCAGGTTGTTGTGAGGATCAATATGTGTAAAGTGCTTTTTGAACCTTAAAGAGCCATATAAATGTTAGCTATTATTGTTATCATTATTAGAAGAGAAAGAGGATTAACAATTAGGTGATCAGGAAAGGCTTCCAAAAAAAGGTGATGAATGAGTTAAGCCTTGATGACAGAATTGAGAAGGTCCCAAATTAATTATAAAGGACATTTGAAGAAAGATGCTATCTGCTTCCAGAGACAGAATAAATGAAGTACATATTGAATAATTATATACATATATGTGTGTATATGTATACACAGATATATACATATATATATATACACACACCTATTTTTGTCTGATAGCCATCTCTAGGGAGGGGATAGGGAAGAAAAAAAGGAAAAAATAAATTTACATGATAATTTTATTGTATATTTGAAAGGAATAACAAATTGTGCGTAATAGATTTACAGTTTCATGTGCAATCATGTTTTTTATTGTACTGTATTATGGAAATGCTTGTTTTATTCCATAAATTAAATTTTTTTTTAAAAAAAGGACCTTAGAAGTCCTCAAGTCTAACTTTCTTCCCCCCCCACCTGTTTTACAAATGGAGAAACTAAGGCCCAGAGAGAGTTAAGTGATTTGCCTAAAACTACACCCATGGTAAGTGGCAGAGAGAGGATTTGAACACAGGTCTTCTTATTTTAAATCTATCATTCCACTCTGCTACTGCAAAATCACGTGTTCCCCTGACCTGAACACAGTACATTTATGAGGGATAAATGGGACTGGGTTTGGACCAATAATTTTATTGGTATATGAATGACCTCCTAAAGAGGCCATTCCCTTTACCCAAGCAGATCTGCACCTCCACAATTAGAAAGTTGCCTGCTACACTGAGAGGTCGTGCCCAGCCACACAGTGTCACACAGTGTTACACAGCCACAGTCAGAAGTGTTCCCCATAACAGGCAGCCTCTAAGATAAAAAGACCAATATGTAAGATACATTTGGTATTACCCTTACAATAAGCTCAAGGTCCCAGTTACAATGCCCTCAAGCTTCCTATTTTAGAACACAACTAACCTTGCTACAAAGCCCTGAGGCCCCCCTCACAAGGCACTCCCTATTACAATTCCTGATGTCCTTGTTACCACACACTCAAATCCCCTTCTAGTAATATTCCCAGTGCCCTTGCTATAACACCTCCAAAAAGCCTCAAGGGTCTCCTTTTATGCTCTCAGTGTCTTTAATACAACATGCTGTGTCCCCTTCTTATAGTATAGTTTTCCCATCATTACACCCTAGAACCACCCTGTTATAACTCTCCCAGTAAGAGATGCTGGTATGGCTAAACAAGAGGTGTTTCTGGGGAGGGGTCTACCCTTATCCCTTCAACTATGAGAAGGGTGTAGCCCCAGTCCTTCACACTGCAGGTCTCCTTGGCCCAGAAACACACTGCGGGGCTGGTCTTGGCCAGTTTTCCTGATTTGAGAATCAAGGATATTGGTGGGGGCCCCCTCCTCACTGCACCTACCCCCTCCCATCTCTGAAGGTCAACCTGACCAGACAGAAATAGCATCTGAGATCATTTCCCAGAAATTGGGGGGAGGGGAGAGGGACAGCACAGGAGTGTCTAAGATGAATCATTCCAATTGAGTGAAGGGGCAGCAGGGCCTAGGACCTTGTCTGCTCAATTAGCTAGAGCTCACTACAAGGAACCAGTACGGCTGTGGACTCTCAGTAAATCTATTCTAGTTAAAGAAGCCCTGGGGTGGGGTGGGGAGTCATCCTTAGCTCTTTTCTCTTGGTCCAGGTGCATTTACCCCGAGCCTTGCAAATACTTTAACTGCAAACAACACCCAGTTCATCCATGCCCAGGAGTAGCAAAGGTCATTTCTATTTTCTAAAATTGGGGAAACTAGGTAGGGTTTGGAGCAGATGCCATTTCTTTTAATGTTATTCATAGTCTCTTACTCTTATCCCAAGCTTCCACCTTCTTAAAGCTTTCCCCATCACCCAACCCCCAGGGCAGTAGTCTAGACAGGATTTACAATACCTGTTTCATGGCCTAGGAAGCTGGGGGCTCAGTCCCACAGCCTTTGCCAGAAGCACAGAAACCACCCCCAAGGGCAGGCCAGGCCGAAGGTGCTCTGGATCTTGAACATGGCCTAAACTGCATTGCAGGGAACACAGAGAGAGGTTTTTGGCTGGGTGTAATTCTGGCTGGAGGAGGTGGACACAGGGCTGTCTGCCCACTGTGCTGCAGAGATTTGGGTGTGTCCATCTCCTCATGGACTCAAAGGGGGAGAAGACAGGGGATAGATTATTCATGTAGAACCACTGAAGACTGGCATAAATCCATATTTTTCTTTTAAATTCAACCCTTCCTAAACATTAATAGTTGGAAGTATCTTCCTGAAGGTAATCCTGTCAAAGAATGTCCCTATTCAAAGATAAAGTTGGCCTCCCCCAGGAGCTGGTCTGAAGCTGAGCATCCTATATACATCAGATCCAATCTCTATGGGTGTGCTGGCTCCTCTCTCCTCTCCCTTCTGCATATCAACCCTGAGTCACCAGTGACAACAGCTTCTCCTGCCTCCCCCCTCTCCCTCCACCTCCAAGAACCAGCCAAACATCTGCCTGGGTGGAGATTAGAGTACAGAGACTCAGGCCAATGTGCATCTCGGCTTCCTGAGGACTAACTAGAGACCAGACTGGGACTCCATGGCACTCCCTCTCTATCCAGGGAACACCAGAGGAGGTCTGGAGCAGCAGCGTGTGCAGAGTGAGAGAAAAAGCATAGATGGAGGGAAAGTTTCTAATGGAGGTAATAAAATACTGGTACAGGTGACCAGGGAAGACTACACACACACACACACACACACACACACACACACACACACACACATACACACACATGCACAGACACACTCAAGCATGCATATACACACATACACACACACAACCCACTTCCACAAATACCCATCCCTTCTCTAAGGTTTTAATGCATTTCTTCTGTCTGGGAAAGGTGATATTGACTCTTAATTATGGCAGAGGAATGATGGATTTGAACCCCTGTGCCTTTCTACTTTTATAGAACCTCTACTCCTTCAAAATGTAGCTCAAAATAATCCACTTTCTTGAGGCAGATTTCTCCAAGGACGCTTCCATAAATAAGGGACACTCTTTGAATATGCCCCCACCCCTCTCTCAAGGTGACTGTTCTTTCTTCTATTTGACATTCTCCTTAAGACTGTAGGCTATAGCTCTGCAATGTGCATGTGGGTCAGGGATCAGCCAGGGACTTACCCCAGGGAGAAATGAGCTTCAGCACTGGCTATTTATCCAGGATACATTTTATTACAAACTTTTTTTTTCTTTTTTAATACAAGTGATGAATGCCAATGGCTCTCCCAGGTCAGGCATGGAGAGATGCAGACAGCATATCTCTCTCTTTCTCCATCTCTCTCCTCCACCCACCCTCCCCCTACCAAGTTACACAAGCACCACAGTGAGAATCATATGCATACTGGACATTTCTGAAGTTTGAAATTAGGACAGTGTTCTTCAGGATTTTTTTTCCCTTCCCTTGAGTCTAATCTCTACTTCCCATCCCCAAGGCTCTCCATTAGTTAAGCCTTATCTGCCTCTCCATGATACAGGACTGCTGCCCTCCATGGAGAGATCAGACTCCATCCTCACCCCATAGGGTAGGGTTACCTGAGTAGCTCAGTCAATATCCTCACCCCTAAATGCCAGGAGCCACAGTAAGGAAAAGGTCCGACTCAAATAAGACAAAGATGGAGGAGGGAGACAGAAGGAGCCTCCAGTCCAAGCCAGAGTATCAGTTGGAGAACTGGGGCTAAAGCCTAGGACCCTGCCACTCTATGACACATATATCAGATGTGGGGCTTCTAATGACCAAATCTGGGTTCTAGTTGTGTCCTCCCCAAAGCCTTATTGGAAGTCAAGTTGCCCCCTGGGCCATAACATTGGCAGGCCGTACTAATATCGGCTCACAGATAGATGTGTGGACTAAAGTTTGGGGGACATCTCTGTTGCTGGGATCTCCATCTCTACAGGCCTTAGCCTAGATTTGGTGAGAATCATTGTCATCACCTCGCCAGGCTCTACTTTTCATGCAGTACAACCTGCTCAATGAAGTAATCAATGAGAACAGACTTCCCCAAGCTGAGGAAGGGAAATCCCATTACCTGTTTTTCCTCTGTTTTAGTCTCTTCCTTCCTTACAATCCATTCATAAAACACGTGCCCCCCCCCAATTCCAGAAGAGGCAGTGAATTGTCCTATATGATAAGGCCTACACTAGGAGGGGAGACAGTCCTGCTGCTTCTAGACTAGGAGGAGACAGCAGTGCTGGGAGCCATAGAGAGGACAGGGCCTGACCCATCCCAGTCAGGCACCTAACTTAGATGGCACTCTGTGACTTGGAAGAGCGAGCAAAGCAAAAAAGCATGGCCAAGGCAACAAGGATGACCATGATGAAAAGCAGAATTAAGACTACCCAAGAACCATAGTCTGTGCCCTTGCGGAAATTCTGATGGTCAGGTGGAATCATGTTGGTCAGGTTCAGCATGTAACCTAGAGCCCAGCCAATAGATGTGTCTCCAGCCTAGAGAGGAAGAGAGAAGAAGCCACAATCAGACCCCTGGGTCACTGAGCTCTCTGACACACTCTCATCCCTTAAAAGAGTGAGCAAATACCCCTCCCCAACTCTAGTTTCTTTTTCTGACCAAGTCTTTGGACATATGCTTTCAAAGGGAACCCAAGCCATCAACCCCCTTCTTCTAATTTCCCTTGGTCTTCTAAGCAGATGAAGATTGTAAGGACCACAGTGGCTTGGGGGGTTAAGTGATGAGGCAAAGAACACCAAGCTAGGGTCTGCCTGGCGATGCCCAACTTTAGCTACAATCTAAACTCCAAGGGGCTAACCTTGGGAAGGCCCCTTCTCCCCTCCCCCACCCTCTCTCCTGCTCCCTCCCTCCCATCCTCTCCTTCCCTCTCCTTTCCACTATCTCTTGACCCCCCTCCCAACCTCTCCCTTCCACCCTCTCTCATTCTCTCTTCCTTCCACTCTCTCTCCTTTTGTCCCCTTTCAACCTTTTCCGCTCTAGCCCCCTCCCCCCAATCCAACACATACCTTCTTCTGGAAAGCAATACTGGGGAAGGTATGTTCATCAAATCTGTAGCCTTGAAGAAGGAGCTGGTTTACAAAGGTGGCACAGGCACAGTAATCTGCCAGGCGGGCCTGCTGGCTAGGGGCTCGCTCCAGTAGCTGGGGATGGAACACAGAACTCTCAGCAGTGCCATTGTCCAGAGCCTGGGCTCCCCACCTCTATTCCTTTTCCCAACAAATGTCCTATTTTAGAATCAGAATTTCAAAGTTTAAGGAAGCCTAGGAAATTTTCTCATCTAACTATGCCTCCCCTCCCTGCCCCACCCCACCCCAGTATATTATAGATGAGGAAACACAGAGTCCCAGAAAAAGGACAGCAACTGGTTCCTAGCACTTATTGATTAGGTCACAGGTAGAGTACAAAGCCCAGGTATCCTGATTCCCAAGTTCACTCTTTTTCCCTGCTAAACCATAACCCACAAGGAGAACAGTCATAAGTCTGTCCATGATTAAGGAGGCCACAGAGCCACCTCTTGAGAGTTCAAATCAAATGGCCTTTGGGAGACCAACACATTAACATTTGCGTGCTAGACTTCCAGGCCTTCAAGCTGGGGCGGGGGTAAAAGTGCTCAGCTAGCAAATTAACATTTTAACCAAAAGAGGAAGTTTGGGTCTCCAAGAAAACAAAAAAGCACTCACTAGGCAATTTAAACAAAGGGTGATTTGAAGTACTTTCAACTGACCCAAAAGGCAAGAAGGATCTTTTTAACTCAATGCTAGCTCAGACTTGGTACAATAATAATCAGTTAGAATTTGATCAACCACAAAATGTAATGTAGGGTCAAAAAGCCCTACCTCTGGGAGTCAGGAGACTTGAGTTCTCTCTAATCCGGTCTTTGATATTAACTCATTCTATAGTTTTGGACAGGTTAAAAAATTGCAGAACCTTAAGAACTGGAAAATGGCACTAGAGGTCAATTAGTCCTGTCCATAAGCTGAAATTTGAATCTCTTCAGGTCACTTTACCTCTCTTAATTTCAGTTACCTCCTCTATGAAGCCGACCCATGTGTCTTTGCTTCCCTTGGGAGGATCCAGGGGAATGGTGAAGGTCAAAGTGCTTGAAAAAATCCTAATGAAACTAAAGATTTGTCAAACCCTATCCCTGGATTACTCCCATGTACCTCTTCAGTTCCTATTCATGTGCTGCTGAGCAGAACAGGAGGAAATCATTGGGGAGCCAACAGAGTTTACTACAGATTTATATTATCTAATCTCAACTGGGCCCTTACCTCAGCAAGACAATCCTTTTACTCCTTCCAGTCCCACACAGGCTGCTTCAAACTTTCCTTTCTTTCCCCAGTCCCCTCCCTTTCAGTCCTCTATAGCAAATCAACTTCTCAGTCACCTTCCACTAATCTTTATCTTACCCTATCTACTACTGATTCCTTTTGGGCTACTTACAAAAACATCCAAGCCTCCACCTTCCAAAAACAAACAAACAAACTCTTACTAGACCTTTGTTTTTGTTGAGTGGTTTCTGTGTCTGACCCTCCTGACCCCATTTGGACAAAGATACTGGAGTGCTCACCATTTGCTTATTCAACTCATTTTACTGAAGCAAACAGGGTTAAGTGACTTGTCCTGGGTCACACAGCTAGAAGTATCTGAGGACAAATTTGAACTCAGGTCCTCCTGACTCCGGGGCCTAGCTCTCTAGCCACTGCATGACCTAGCTGACATACTAGACCTTATTATGTCCTCAAGTTATATCTCTCCTCCCTTTGCCTCTCCTTCCTCTCCTTTTATTCACTTCCCAACCCTTTGCAAACTAGCTGACTCACTCAGCTGGAACTACTGCTGTGGTCATTTAGGTGGCCCAGCAGATAGAGTGCCAGGCCTTGAGTCAGCAGATACCTGAGTTCAAATCCAGCCTCAGATACTTACTAGCTGTGTGACCCTTAACCCTGTTAAACAAGTCACTTAGCCCTGTTTGCTTCAGTTTTCTCATCTGTAAAATGAGATGGAAAAGGAAATGGCAAACTATTTCAGTATCTTTGCCAAGAAAACCCCAAATGGGGTCACAAAGAGTCGGACAGGACTGAACAACAACAACTCTATATCCTCACTTAACTGAAATGACTCTCTCCAGAAGAGCTCTTAACTGATTAACAAATCGAATGGTCTTTTTTCACTCTTCATCCTTCTTGTTTTCTCTGAAGTACTTGAAACTGTTAACCACTCTCTCCTCCAGGATACTCTCTCTTTTTTTGGGTTTCCCTCCTACTTGTTTGACTCTCCTCAGTCTTCCTTGTTGGTTCACCTCCTGACTATAGGGGTACTCCAAGGCTGTATCCCGGGCTCTCTTCTATTCTCTCTTTACACTCTGTCACTTGGTGACCTCATCGGTTCCCATGGATTTAATGACCTTTTCTCTGAAGATGACTCCCAAATATATAAATCCAGCCATGTTCTCTCCTGAGAATGAGAACCTCCAACTGCCTATTACATAGTTTGAATTAGACATCCCATAGTCATCTCAAACTCAAAATGTCCAAAACTGAACTCATTCTCTTTCTTCCCACTCATCCCCTTCAGAATCTCACTGTTTCTGTCCAGGACACAACCATCCTTCTAGTCATCCAGTTTCATAAGTTTGGAAATATCCTTGACTACTCACTTTCCCTCAACATATCAAAACTGTTGCTAAAACTTTTCATTTCTACCTCTACAATATCTCTCAAAACTATTCCTTTCTCAGACTTACATGAATGGATGCAAAGCGAAGGGAGAAGAACCAGCAGAACATTTTGTACAGTAACAACATTTTTCATTGACCCATTATATATGACTTAGCTATTCTCAGCAATACAATGCTCCAAAACAATTCCAAAGGACTCTTGAGAGAAAATGCTATTCACATCTAGAGAAAGAATTGATGGAGTCTGAATGCAGATCACAGCACACTATTTTCACTTTATTTTTTTCATGGTTTTTGGTTTGGTCTGTTTCTACTTTCACAACACAACTAATATGGAAATATGTCTTATATGATTGCATGTATATAACCAATATCAAATTACTTACTGTCTTAGGAAGAGCGGAGTTGAGGGAGGAAGGGAGAAAATTCAGAACTCAAAATTTTTTGAAAATGAATATTAAAATTTGTTTTTACATGTAATTGAAAAAAATAAAATACTATTTAAAAAAAAAAGCTATTCCTTTTTCTCTACTCATAAGGCCACCACACTAGTTAAGGTCCTCACCACTTCTAGATTACTGCATTAGCTAGTGTCTTTCTTTATCAAATCTCTCTCCTTTCCACTCTAGCCTACAAACAGCTATCAAAGTGTTTTCCTAAAGTGAAGTCTGACCATTTAACTCCTTAACTTAATAAACTCCAGTAGTTTTTGATTGCCTCTAGCATCAAATATAAGCTTTTCTATTTAGCTTTCAAAGCTCCTCATGACCCGGCCTCTTCCAGTCTTATACAGGATGTCCTAAAATTCTTAGTGCAGTAAAAGAGGCTCTACATATGGATGTATATATATACATACATATAAGTTTATGTGTATATATATATATATATATACACACATACATATATATTACATAGCTTGATAACTTCAGGAATATTAATGCTACAAACTTACAAAAATAATATTTTAAAACTTAATTATTTGAATAAATACATTTTACATTTATTTAGTTTTGATGAAGATCGGATTTAGACCCCCTGGACTTTCCCATATAGCCAAATCTCTGGTTTTTGCCTGAGGCTATAATCCCATCAACTGGCCTTTCTTTCTAACTATACCCAATCTCCCAATCCAGGTACCCTTAACCTAGTCTAGCCCTCCCTATGGCCCCTGGCCATTTCCCACACTTAATTTCCATTTTCCAAGTCCCAGGTGTTCACCCCAGTTTACTGGCCACTCCCATTCATATCTCCTTGGCCCCTCCTCTAGTCACCCCAAACTACTAGGCCACTCCTACATCCCTCCCATAGTCTTTCTGGATATAAGGTCCATCTTGTCTCCATTAAGATGGTCAGATTCTTGAAATCTAGCCAATACTTGCAGACTCCTAGATTCCCCAAGAGTCTGGCAATATGGTGGATCTTTAATAAACCTTGTTTTTGGCTGAAAGAAGGTTTGGGTCGAATTCCTTCCGGGAGGACCCGCGTGTCATGATTTTGCGGTTCCAGCACCCCTAAACCTCATCAGTTTTATTAATTTTACATTTTATTTTACATTTATTTAGTTTTATGAATTTTGAATAATCAATTTTTAATTATTTTAGTAAGGTTGAGCATCCAGGCATGACACATATTGTCTGCTATAGTTTCTATATGACAGTTTCTCAAAGCCAGAACAGTGGTGCTCTTGCTTGGTTATCTTGGTTACCAGATCTATCTCCATCAGACTTTTCTCCAGGGAAACCACATCAGATCTGTAATATAGACATCAAGGCCTTGTTCTTTGGGCAATCTTAAGGTTAGGATTACAAATGCAATCCTTTCAGTCACCGAGCAGCAGCTGATGAAAGTGTCTATCAAGTTTGAAAATTGACTAGTGTGGTATAGCAAAAGATAGTGGTTATGTTAAATTTTAATAAGAAATATATCAATATTTAAAAAATAGAAATAATTAACATTTCTAATATTTTGGGGGGGGCAGCTTGGTGGCACAGTGGATAGAGAGTGCCCCTGGAGTCAGAAGACTCGTCTTCCGGAGTACAAATCCAGTCTCAGACACTTACTAGCTCTATCTGTGGGAGTCACTTAGCCCTGTTTGTCTCAGTCTCCTCATTTGTAAAATGAGCTGGAGAAGGAAATGGCAAACCATTCCAGTACCTTTGCCAAGGAAACCCCAAATGGGGTCACAATGAGTTGGGAAGGACTAAAATTTTTTTTTAAGTTTGTAGCATTTGTACTTCTAAATATATTAAAGTTTAAAACTGTACTAAGATTTTTGAGACCCCCTGTATATTACTCCCCTTTCTATATTCAATGGCCCTGCCAAACTGACTCTCTGTCCTTCACACATACCATTCAATAATCTCCCAGACTTTGAAATGACTGTCCCCTATGCCTGGACAGCTTTTCCCACCTCACCTCCTTCTCTTTGCATCCCTGGTTTCCTTTAACTCTACTCAAATGATACCTTTTCTAAAAAGCTACTGATACCTCTCCCTTTAGTTGTGAGTATGCTTCCCCTCAAGTGCCTGCCCTCATTTACATTTTATTTATTTTGTACCTACTGATTAATGTACATACTATCTCTTCAATGGATGTAAACTCCCAGAGCAAGGAGACTATTACATTTTTGCCTTTGTAATGCCACCATTTAGCCTAGCCTCTGGCATAAAGGAGGTGCTTAACAAATTGCAGATTGACTAACAGAGAAGAGATAAAGCATCCTGTGGACCTCTGGGAGCCATCTTGAGTAAGAAGATGCTCCTTCATTTCATCTTCTGAGCTACATCTAGGAGTGTGATTCCATTCCTTCAATTGAGGGATATCTAGTGTCTGGCTTGAACTCAGAACTTCTTCTTGGCCTCATGTGAATGGGATAAAGGGCTGGGAGCAGGAGGATGGGTCAGAAATATGTCTCCCATTGGTGGCCTTCAATTCTACACAAAATGGGATTGGGAAGTTGGAATGATTGGCAGAGATGGGAATAATTGACAGAGATACGCTGCCATACAAGATCTTGCACCTATACTCTTGTAACCTCTGTTCAGATGGTAAAGGGGCCTTACCTTTACCCATGACTCATTGCACAAAGCCTTGACTGCAATCCCCAGCTCCCCTGGAGAGGTCACAGGCAGCTTCATCACCTTCTGAAGGAAGTCCACAGTGTAGTAGAATGCAGAGAAGGCCTAAGGCCAGGTACAGGATACAGGAATAAAGATAAGAATGCAGATAAGAATACAGTTGATCCTCACCTTCTGTTTGCCTACCCTCAGCTTGTATATTCACCCCACCTCTGGTCCCTAGATCTTGACTTCTATACTTTCAGCAGCCCTTAGCTATTACATTCCCCCATCACTGTCCAAGTCCACTATGCCCCTACCCTCCAAAATTCCCCTATACACCATCCCTGTTCATCTTGAGCCAATCACCTTCAGAACCACCTCTATAGGGGTGATTTAATTCCCTCAACTAAAGGGTACCTGGTGTCTGGGCTGAACCAAAGGCTACTTGTTCTCTCCCAAGGAGGGTAAAAAATGGCACAGGTGGAGAAGTCAATATCTGGGATAAAGTCCAGAACGGTAAGCCACAGGCCTGACCCTGTGGGTAGGATGGGATTTAGCTGCAAAATGAATACTGGACCCCTAATGGCCCCATCCCATGCCCCAAAGGGAAATGATACCCCAGGACTCACAATGAAGTTCCCAGCCACGGGAGGCTGGAAAATGCCATTGAAGGAACATTGGGAGAAAGGGCAGGATGAGAAGTTGAAAAGATCAGAAACAAGCTGCTGGCAGAGGATAGGATCACCGGTCCCAGAAAGGGTCACCTTGGTATTGACATCATAGTCCTGAGGTCTCTGGGCTGAAGTACAAGGTGACATGTATACATCCTTCAGGAGGACTTTTCTTGAATAGCCTATGGGCCAGCAGGGGTGTGAAATCCGTCTCTGGAATAGGGGAGATGCAGGAAATTGGGTACAGAAACTTCTACCAGTACATATCCTGGCCCTGTTCTCCCCACTAGCAGGCCACTGGCGTTCCTAATCTTAGCCCACCCTGCACCAGCAGAAACATCTGCCAGATTAATCGCTTTCAAACCTAACCTTTTATCATATCCTCTCCCTACTGAAGAATTTCTATTGAGTTCTCACTGCCTATAGGATCAAGATTAAATTTCTCTCCTAGGATTTAAGGTCTCCTTATGACTGCTCTAATCCTACCATTTCCCCACTGCACTCTCCATTCAGCTAAGCCTATATCATCCGTGACCCCCTACATATATTAGATGTGTTTCTGCCTTCATACTTTGTTTAATCCATTTTCCCCACTTGAAATCTTCTTCTCCTCTCCGCTGCCCATCTATGTTCTACCCACCCATCCTTTAAGTATGAGTTCAAATTTTATCTCCCCTATGAAGTCTTCTCTTGTTGCTCCTCCCCACTTGATCTTGCCCCTTCTCTGAATTTTTGTAACACTCACCACACCCTCTATAGTGTTCTGGATCACACATTGCCCTATTTTGATGTCCAATTCGTAAATAAAATAGTTAGGAGAAGAATCGGATAGAAAGATGGACCTAGAGTCAGAAAGACCCCATTTTGAATCCAGCCTATCCTCAGATAATAGCTATGTGACTTTGAGCAAGTCACTTAAATGCGCTCTGCCTCAGTTTCCTCATCTCTCAAATGGGGATAATAATAGTGCCTACCTCCCAGGGTTGTTGTAAGGATGAAATGAGATTGTATTATTTGTAAAGCACTTTGTAAACCCTAAAACACTACATAAATCATAGCAATGATGTCTTCTCTCCAACCATTCTACAAACTCCAAGAGAACAAAGACTGCACCTTCTCTTATCTCCCTCCTAAGACAGGCATACCCGGAACTTAGCAAGGGCTTGTGGAGTAATTGATTTACCTGAATTTGCTTGCCCCTGCTTCTACCTGCACCGAGAACCAGAGAAGATTACAGAAGTTGTTATCTTGAACTAGCAGGAAGGTGAGAGCTAGCAGGCCCACCCAGACAAGAGATGCATACCAGAGTCATAAGAATAGAATTCCTAAAAAGAGGCCCTTTGTCGGCAAGAGAGAGACCATGTTGCAGTGGAGATAGCAGGTGGGATGACAAGGAGAGTACTTTAGGTGAGTAATGGAGGTTTCAAGGAGACCTTCCCCTGCCATACCTGAAGCACACCAGCCAGCAACCTCTGGAGGACTTGGTCTCTACCATAGCACAGGAAGCTGTGGGTGTAGACTCTGTAGCTCTGGCCGTAGAGCTGCAGCTTGACCTCATTGGCCGGGTCCTCAGCCTGGCTGGCTGTCTCAAACGTGATCTGTGTGGATGCACCACCGAGGTCCATGGCCCCCACTGTCCCCTGCCTTGGTCGGATCCACTCCCCTACCCAGCCATACTGTGAGAGAGGGGAAAAGGAGAGGGAGAAAAGAGAAACATTTATTAAGTACCTACTATGTGTCAAAGACTTTGCTCTCTCTCACATCTACAACCCTCCTCCCCCAAGGGGTTTCCAGACTGGAATTATGAAAGAAGCACTGGTATTTTAGGGGGAAGAATTTCTTATCCAAATGAACAAGGAATTCAATGGTGGGGCCAGGTGCCACCAAAGGATCCAGCTGCCTGTCTTCCCACGGGGGGCCCCCATGGTAGCAGCCATAGGCGTTTTTGAATATCCAGCTAGATTAGGGTTATGGTCAGGGCTAGTAAATGGCACATAGATTTAGAGGGATGGGTTAAGGTCCTACTAGTGTCAGCAATAAGGGCACAAGGGGATGACCAGTTTGTTCCTGTATATCCTGTGACAAATGGAACATTGTCCACTTGGTGGCAAGATAGGGTATGAGGAAATAGCAGCATCAGAAAAGGTGAACAGTCACCAAAACCCACCTTGATGAAATTCTCCAAGAGATAGTTGGCAGTAACCCAGCCAAAGACTCCCTCATCCTGGCCAGACAGAATCCGGGCCCCTCGAAAGTCAAAGGGGTATTGGGTTAACGTCTCCGTCACTGATGAAAGGACACTGTCCGAAGCAGCTGGACTGGTCAGGCTACAAGAAATATAGAAACCTCTTAATGTCCTTTCCTGTCCTTTCTGACAGCCTCATCAACCCTGCCCATGGAGGTGGCTAAAAAAAAAAAAAAAGAAGAAGAAGGGGACAGTATGGTGTGGCATCAAAAATATTGGATTTGTAAAACAACTCTAAGGCACCACCTCACGTCTATCAGATTGGCTAATATGACAGAAAAGGGAAATGACAAATATTGAAGGGGATGTGAGAAAATTGGGACATCAATGCACTGTTGGTGGAGTTGTGAACTGATTCAGCCATTTTGGAGAGCAATTTGGAACTATGCCCAAAGGGCTGTAAAACTGTGCGTACCTTTTGACCCAGCAATAGCACTACTAGGTCTGTATCCTAAAGAGATTAAAAAAAAAAAAACAACGACAACAAAGGAAAAGGACCTATATGGGCAGAAATATTTATAGCAGCTCTTTTTATAGTGGCAAAGAATTGGAAATTGAGGGGATGCTCATCAGTTGAGGAATGGCTAAACAAGTTTGTGGTATATGATTGTGATGGAATACTAGTGTGCTGTAAGAAATGATGAGCAGGCTGCTTTCAGAAAAACTTGGGAAAATTTACATGAACTGATGCAAAGTAAAGTGAGCAGAACCAAGAGAACATTGTACACAGTAATAGCAATATTGTAAGGATGATCAACTATGAATGACTACGCTATTCTCAGCAATACAATGATTCAAGACAATTCTGAAGGATTTATGATAAAAGATTCTATCCACTTCCAGAGAAAGAACTGAAAGAATCTGAATGCAGATCAAAGCACATTTTTTAAACTTTCTTTATTTTTCTTGGGTGTATTTTTTTGAGGGGGTCTGTTTTCTTTTGCAACATGGCTAAGATAGAAACATGTTTTGCACGACTGCACATGTATAATCTATATCAAATTGCTTGCCTCTCAAGAAGAGGGGAAAGTGGAAGGGAGGAAGAGGATTTGGAACACAAAATTTTAAAAATGAATGTTAAAAATTGTTTTTACATGTAATTGGAGAAAAAACATAAAAATTATTTTAAAAATTGAATTTGGAATCAAAGGACTGATATTTGAAACCCAATTCTCTTACTTTCTACCTGTGTGATATTGGGCAAGATAAGTAACATTCTGGGCTTCAGGTTCCTTCTTTATAAAATGAGGGGGATGGACAAAAGTAGGAGTTCTTAACCATTTTTGTATTATGAATCTGTAAAAGCCTGTGGACCTGTTCTCAGGCTAATGCTTTAAAATAATTGAAGGAAATGTTAAATTTCAGTTAGAGGTCGATGAAAATAAAGATGTAACTTGTTTCTTACCCAAGTCCATGGACCCCTAGAAAATATCCACAGACCCCCTCAGGAGTCTATGGATCCTACATCAAGAACCCCAACAGGGGGGCAGCTAAGTGGCGCAGTAAATAGAGCACCAGCCCTGAAGTCAGGAGGACCTGAGTTCAAATCCGGCCTCAGACCAAACACCTGACACTTACTAGCTGTGTGACCGTGGGCAAGTCACTTAACTCCAACTGCTCCCCCCCCAAAAAAAGAACCCCATGCAGGCAGCTAGGTGGCGCAGTAGATAAAGCTCCAGCCTTGGAGTCAGGAGAGCCTGAGTTCAAATCTGGCCTCAGACACATGACACTTACTAGCTGTATGATCCTGGGCAAGTCACTTAACCCCAATTGCCTCACCAAAAAAAAAAAAAAAAAAAAAGAACCCCATGGAGCAGAGGACTTCTAATGTCCTTTGAATAGTGAAAAGAATGCTGGATTTGGAGCCAGAGGGCTTGAATTTAAGCCTAAAGCTCTGTCACTACCTGTGTGATTCTGGGCAAGTTATATAATCTCTTTGGGTCTCATTTTCTCCTCATCTATAAAATGAGAGGGTTAATCTACAAGACTTCTAAGATTTCTTCCATCTCTAAATCTACAATTTTTTGATTTTATGAATGTACATAGTCACCAGGTAACCAGAATTCAGTCCTGGAAAAATCAGGACCAGGATTTTCTTTCACCAAAAGCCCAAGAAAGTATTCTATAACAGATAAAGATATCCTTCAGGTAGATGAAGAAGTCTTATGATGACTAAAGGGAAATTTTGGAATGGATTTTTGCCATCTCTTACCTAGAATGGATCAACAAAAAGGCAAACTTGCCTACATGAATGGTTGCTTGAGAAGGGAAATAAAGGCACAAAGCTCAATGCCCATTCTGGTGCCAAGGCGCCCCAATGGCAAACTTGGAGGCAGAGCAGCAGAAAAGGGAAGTATCCAAACTTACTTCAGAAGTCTCATGCCTGCAGTGGCACCCAGGTAGAGGGGAGTGACTGAGTGTCTCTCCTTGGGCACATCTTTCATGGCTTGGTTGAGACAGCTTACTAGGCTTCGACCTGCCCCAGGGGGATCTTCTGCATAACTGGAGATACCACCACCTAGAAGCAAGACAGAAGGGGAAGAAGAAGAGGGGAACATGGCCAATGATGATCAATGCCTTTAAGAGGATGGACTGAAATCCATCTCTCCTATCTTTTCCCAATAAACACATAAAACCAAGGATTCTAATTTCCATATTATTTGCATAGGGCAGAATGGTATAGTTGACAGGTCAAGAGACCTGGTTTCCAGCCTTGACTCCATCATAAACTCATGATGTGACCTTTAGCAAGTCACTTTCCAGCTCTGGGTCCAAGTTTTATCATTTGTGAAAGAAGGGGATTGGGCTAGATGGTTCCTAAGGTACTTTTCACTTATAACAATTTATGGTGAAGATATATAATCTGAATATTAAAAATTCTACCATAAAAATGAGAAGAAAACCAGATCAGATACTTTTCATAGCTAAGGGTAGGAGGAAAATTCTTAACCAAACAAAGGATAGAAGTGATCATAAAGATAAAATAAATAATTTTGACTATATGAAATTTAAAAGTTTTTGTACCAACAAAATAAACACAACTATGACAAGAAGGAAGGGTATTAGAAAAATAATTTTTACATCAAATATCATTGATAAAGAGCTTATATCTAAGTACTTAAATAAATATAAGGATGAGGATTGGACCTGTAATTTAATCGGTATAGAGAACTTCCAGAAGAAGAAACTCCCTTTACTAATGCAGGTTGGTACCTTCTCTACAATTTACAGTGTTAGAGAAATGCCTATATCATTGACAGCCAGGAAGTGTCAGAGGTAGGACCTCAACCCAGGAGTTCCTAACTCTAAAGGGCTGGCTCTCTAGCCACTATGCCAAGCTGCTTTATACGTACATATATACATACATACATACAATCATACACATACATATAGCTGCTTGGTAAAGTGGATATATATGTGTATATAAAATTCATTTATTCAATAAACATTTATTAAGCACCTACTATGTGCCAGGCACTATACTAAACACTAGGGATACAAAAAAATGACAAAAGACATTACCTATCCTTGAGGAGCTTGTAATCTGTTAAGTGAGACAACATGCAAACAAACATACACAAAGCAAGCTATACACAGGATAAACAGGAAATAATCAAGAGGAAAGGCATTGGAATTAAAAGGAGTTAGGAAAGGCTTCCTGTAGAAGGCAGAATTTTAGCTGGGACCTAAAGGAAGCCAGGGAGGTCAGTAGTTGGAGTGGAGGGGGGAGAACATTCTAAGCATGGGGGACATCCAGAGAAAATGCCTGGAAAAGAGAGATAGAGAGTCAGATTCATGGAACAGCCAGGAGGCCAGAGTCATTAGATAAAAGAGTCTGTGTCAAGGAGTAAGGTATAAGAAGACTAGAAAAGTAGAAGGGAGCTAGATTATGAAGGACTTTGAATGCCAAATAGAGAATTTGTATTTGCTTCCAGAGGCAACAGGAAGCCACTGGAATTTATTGAGTAAAGGGGTTGACATGATTGGACCTACATTTTAGGAAAATCACTTAAATGGTTGAATGAAGGATGGATTGGAATGCAGAGAGACTTGAGGCAGGCAGACCCACCAGCAGGCTAGTGCAATGATCCAAGTGTGAGGTGATAAAGGCCTGCACCACAGTGGTGGCCATGTCAGAGGAGAAAAGAGGGCATATTTGAGAGATGTTGCGAAGGTGAAATAGACAGGCCTTGGCAACAAATATCTATCTATTTACCTATCTGTGTGTATGTATATACATATACACATATCTATTTCTCAACTGATAAGTGAATAAACAGTTCTTTCTCTTTTTTCCTTAAGATTCAAGTGGGATTAAGTGACTTGCCCAGGGTCACACAGTTAGTGTCTGAGCTCAGATTTGAATTCGGGTCTTCCTGATTTCACCTCTCCACCCAACTGCCCTGAATAAACAATTCTCAAAAGAATTTCAAACTATTAATAACCAAGTAAAAGACTGCTCCAATCACTGATAACAAGAGAAATGCAAATCAAACCTCACATTTAGTAAGTTGGCAAACATGTCAAATATGGCAATAGTCAAGGTTGGAGCATTTGTGGAAAGGCAGACACACTAATACACTGTTAGTAGAACTATAAATTGATATAACTAGGCTTATATCTCAAAGAGACCAATGATAAAAATAAGGTCCAGAGATATTCTGGAAAATGTTTAACAACCTTCTCTCTTTCTCTCTGGGAAAAAAAAATGTAACCACAAAATACTTTTATATTTAATCTAAATTATTTACTTTCTTAAGTCTAGACAATCAACAAAACCATAAAACAAGTCTTTATTTGAAGTTACAAATATCTGAGATGTCTATATCTTTATCTTTGGATCACCTTAAAAATTTAACAATGAGCTCCCGACTATTAGAGTTGGTTTCAACAAACCCCAGGAAAGGTCCCACATACACCAAAATATAGCGATAATTATATTATCATTGTGGTAAAGAACTGGAAACAATGTAGATGCTCATCATCGTGGAGTAGCTAAAATAGCTAAAAAATATTACTTGAATACAATGGAATATTACTGTACTATACAAAATGAATAGGAATAATAAGAAAAACTTGGGAAGAGTTATATGAACTGATGCAAAATTAAATAAGCAGAACCAGGAAAAAACAATATACACACTGACTACAACAATGTAAATGGAAAGAGTAATCACAACAAAATTAAAATTTAATACTATGAAATTATATTGACCAGGTTTGGCCCTAAAGAAAAGACATGAGAATATACCTGCTTCAATTTTTTGCTGAGTGTGGAACACTGCATGTAATACTGTCTACAGTTATTTTAAATGGAATTTCTCTTTCTATCTCTTGCTGCTGGACTTTGGTGGTAATATACAGAAATGATGATGATTTATGTGGATGATGCAGGATTTATCTATCCTGAAACTTTGCTAAAGTTGTTAATTATTTCAAATAGTTTTTCAGTTGATTCTCCTGGATTCTCTAAGTATACCAACATATCATCTGTAAAGAGTGATAATGTTATTTCCTCATTGTCTATTCTAATTCCTTCAATTTCTTTTTCTTGTCTTATTGTTATAGCTAGCATTTCTAGTACAATATTGAAAATATTGATAATGGGCATTCTTGCTTCACCCCAATCTTATTGGGAAGGCTTCTAGCTTATCCACATTACAGATGTTTGCTCATGGTTTTAGATAGATACTAGTTATCACTTTAAGGAAAGCTCCATTTATTCCTATGTTCTCTAGTGTTTTTAATAGGAATAGGTGTTGTGTTTTGTCAAAAGTTTTTTTCTGTATCTCTTAAGATAATCATGTGATTTCTGTTGGTTTTGTTATTGACATGGCCAATTATGCTGATAGTTTTTCTGACTTTGAACCATAGTATATGATCCTTGTGATATGTTACTGTGATTTCCTTGCTAGTATTTCATTTAAAATTTTTGCATCAGTGGATAGAGCACCGGCCCTGAATTCAGGAGGACCTGAGTTCAAATTCGACCTCAGACACATAATACTTACTAGCTTTGTGACCCTGGGCAAATCACTTAACCCCATTGCCTAGCCAAAAAAAAAAAAATTAAAAAAAAAATTTTGCATCAATACTCATTAGGTAAATTGGCCTATAGCTTTCTTTCTCTGTTTTTGCTCTTCCTGGTTTAGGTATCAAAACCATATTTGTGTTGTAAAAGGAATTTGGTAAGACTCCTTCCTTGCCACTTTTAACAAATAGTTTATATGGCATTAGAATTAATTGTTCTTTAAATGTTTGGTAGAATTCAACTTGTAAATCCATCTGGCCCTGGGGATTTTTTCTCAGGGAGTTCATTGATGGCTTGTTCAATTTCTTTTTCTCAGAGGGGGTTAAGTATTCTATTTCCTCTTCCGTTAATCTGGGCAATTCATATTTTTGTAAATATTCATCCATTTTGCTTAGATTGTCAGATTTATTGGCATATGATTGAGCAAAATAATTCCTAATAATTGCTTTAATTTCCTCTTCATTTGAGGTGAATTCATCCTTTTCATTTTTTATATTAATTTGACTTTCTTCTTTCTTTTATAAAAAATTAAATTAACCAATGGTTTATCTATTTTATTGTCCCATTCCCACCCCCCCATAAAACCAGTTCCAAGTTTTATTTGTTGGTTTCCTAACTTTCAATTTAATTACTTTCTTCTTTGATTTTCAGGGTTTTTAACTTGGTGTTTAATTGGGGATTTTTAATTTGTTCTTTTTCTAGATTTTTTAGTTGTATGCTCAATTGATGGATCTGCTCTTTTTCTATTTTATTGATGTAAGCATTTAGAGATATAAATTTTCCCTAAGTAAAGTATTGTTTTGGTTGCATCCCATAAATTTTGTTATGTTGTTACATTGCTATCATTTTCTTTAATGAAATTATTGATTGTTTCTATGACTTATTCTTTGACCCACTCATTCTTTAGGATCAAATTACTTAGTTTCTAAAATAGATTTTTAACCTATCTTTTCATGGCCCTTTACTGAATGTAATTTTTATTACATTATGATCTGAAAAGGATGCATTTAATATTTCTTCTTTTCTGCATTTGATTGTGAGGTTTTTATGCCTTAATACATGATAAATTTTTTGTGGAGGTGCCATGTACCATTGACAAAAAGGTATATTCCTTTCTACCCCCATCCAATTTTCTCCAGGGGGCTATCACATCTAACTTTTTTCAAATTTTTTTTCTTTTTTTTGGTAAGGCAGTTGGGGTTAAGTGACTCGGCCAGGGTCACAGAGCTAGTAAGTGTTAAGCATCTGAGGCTGGATTTGAACTCAGGTCCTCCTGACTCCAAGACCAGAGCTCTATTCACTAAGCCACCTAGCTGCCCCCACATCTAACTTTTCTAAAATTCTATGCACCTTCTTAACTTCTTTCTTGTTTACTTTTTGGTTAGATTTATCTAGTTCTGAGAGGGGAAAGATGAGGTCTCCCACTAGTATAGTTTTACTGTCTAGTTCCTCCTGGAACTCATTTAACTTCTCCTTTAAAAATTTGGATGCTATACCATTTAATACATATATGTTTAGTATTAATATCACTTTATTGTCTATGGTACCTTTTAACAAGATGTAATTTCCTTCCTTGTCTCTTTGATTTATTCATTTATCCTTATTTTTTAAATCAGATGTATTTTTGCTTTTGTTTTCTCTGAGATCATTATTACTACTCCTGCTTTTTTTTTCACTTCAGCTGAAGCATAACTGATTCTGCTCTAGCCCCTTACCTTTACTCTGTGTGTGTGTGTATGTGTGTTTCAAATGTGTTTCTTCTAAATAACATATTGTAGCATTTTGGTTTTTAATCCACTCTGCTATCCACTTCTGTTTAATGGGTGAGTTCATCCCATTCACATTCATGGTTAGGATTATTAACTGTGTATTTCCTTCCATTCTATTTTTGCCCTGTTTATCCTTCTTCTTCTTCTTCTTCTTCTTCTTCTTCTTCTTCTTCTTCTTCT